TGGAGAAATAGACAAAAATACAATAATAGTAGGGGACATCAATACCCTACTACTAGCAATGGATAGATCATCCAGACAAAAAATCAACAAGGAAACGTTGGAAGTAAACCACACTTTAGAACAAACGGACTTAACGGATGTATACAGAACATTCCATCCAACAGCAGCAGAATATACATTCTTCTCAAGTGCACATGAAACATTCTCCAGGATAGATCATATGGTAGGCCAAAAAACAAATCTTAGCCAACTTAAGAAAACTGAAATCACACCAACTATCTTCTCTGACCACAATGGTACGAAATTAAACATGAACAACAAGAGAAAAGTGAGAAGATCTACAAATATGTGGAAACTTCACTGGAGAATTCTACCAAACATTTAAAGAAGAATTAACACCAGTCCTCCTCAAACTCTTCCAAAATATTGAGGAACAAAAAACACTTCCAAACTCATTCTATAAGGCCAGCATTACTTTGATACCAAAATCAGATAAGGATACTACAAGAAAAGAAAGCTAAAGACCAATATTACTGATGAATATAGATACAAAGATTCTCAACAAAATATAGGCAAACCAAATTCAAAAACACATTAAAACGATTAGACACTCAAGTAGGATTTATCCCCGAGATGCAAGGATGTTGCAACATACATGAATCAATAAATATAATACATCACATCAATAAAATGAAAGATAAAAATCACATGATCATCTCGATAGATGCAGAATTAGCATTTAACAAAATACAACATCCTTTCATGATAAAAACCCTTAATAGACCGGGCCTAGAAGGAACATACTTCAACATAATAAAGGCCATATACAGCAAACTCATAGCTAACATTATACTCAATGGAGGTAAACTGAAAGTGTTTCCCCTAAGATCAGGAATAAGGCAAGGATGCCCACTCTCACCACTCCTATTCAATATAGTATTAGAAATTCTTGTTAGGGTAATTAGGTAAGACAAAGAAATAAAAGAAATCCAAATCAGAAAGAAGTAAAATTGTCATTATTTGCTAATGATATTATCCCATACATAGAAAATCCCAGAGTCAGTCAAAAAACTGTTGAAATTAATCAACAATTTCAGTAAAAATCACAGGATACAAAATCAACACACAGAAATCAATTGCGTTCCTTTACACTAATGATGAAGCGTGTGAAAAAGAAATAAAGAAAACCATCGCATTCATAATAGTATCATAAACAATAAAATACTTAGGAATAAATTTAGCCAAGGAAGTGAAAGATCTGTACGATGAAAACTACAAAACTTTGCTGAAAGAAATCGAAGCAGATAAAAACCAATGGAAAGACATTCCATGCTCATAGATTGGAAGAATAAATAGTTAAAATGATTATATTACCCAAATTATCTTTCATTTCAACGCAATCCCCATCAAAATACCAAAGGCATTCTTCACAGAAATAGAAGAAACAATCCTAAAATTCGTGTGAAACCACAAAAGACCCTGAATAGCCAAAGCAATCCTGAAAAAAAGGACAAAGCCAGAGGTATCCTGCTTCCAGATTTCAAACTATACTACAAAGCCACAATAATCAAAACTGTATGGTACTAGCATAAAAATAGACACGTCGAGCAATGGAACAGAACAGAGAGCCCATAATTAAACTCTGGCATATATGGTCGACTAATATTTGACAAGGGAGTCAAGAATACAAAAATATGTAACGAACTCAGTCAACTCAATTATCAAAAAATAATAATAATAATAATGTGATTTAAAAATGGACAGAAGCGGCCAGCCTGGTGACACAAGTGGTTAAGTGCATGCGCTCCGCTTCAGCAGCCTGGGGTTCACAGGTTCAGATCCCAGGCGCGCACCAACACATCGCTTGTCAAGCCATGCTGTGGCGGTGTCCCATATAAAGTAGAGGAAGATGGGCATGGATCTTAGCTCAGGGCCAATCTTCCTCAGCAAAAAAAGAAAAAAAAAAAAGAGGAGGATTGGCATTGAATGTTAGCTCAGGGCTGATCTTCCTCCCCCCAAAAAAATTAAAAAAAAATAAAAATGGGCAGAAGAATTAAAGGAGGACAGAAAAATCCAAAGAGAACATCAAAATGGCCAACAGACACATGAAATCATCAGGGAAATGCAAATCAAAACGACAATGAAATATCACCTCACACCTGTTAGAATGGCTATCATCAAGAAGACAAGAGGTAACAGGTGCTGATGAAGATGTGGTGAAAAGGGAACCCTTATATGTTGTCAGAGGGAATGTAAATTGGTGCAGCCACTATGGAAAACCATATAGAGATCCCTCAAAAAATTAAAAATAGATCCACCATACGATCCTGCAATTCCACCTTTGGGTATATACCCAAAGGAAATGAAAACAGGATTTCAATGAGATATATGCACTCCCATGTTTAGTGCAGCGTTATTCACAATAGCCAAGATATGGAAACAACCCAAATGCCCATCAACAGATGAACAGATAAAAAAGATGTGGTATATATACACAATGGAATATTATTCAGCCAGGAGAAAGGAAGATGTCCTCCCATTTGCAACAACATGGATGGACCTTGAACACATTATGCTAAGCAAGATAAGTCAGATAGAGAAGGACAAACACTGTATGATATCACTTATGTGTTGAATCTAAAAAAGTTAAACCTGTAAAAAACAGAGAGTAAAATGGTGGTTATCAGGGAATATGTAAGAGTGATGGTGTTTAAGGGTACAAACTTGTAACGAGTAGTAAATAAGCCATAGAGATCTAATGCACAGTATAATGAATATAGACAATAATAGTGTATGTAATTACATAATGTGATAAATATCACTACGTTGGCAATCATATTACAATATAGTCATGTGGCACATAATGATGTTTCAGTCAACCACAGACTGCATATACAACAGTGGTCCCATAAGATTAGTACCATAGAGCCTAGGTGTGAAGTAGGCTGTACCATCTAGGTTTGTGTAAGTACACTCTATGATGTTCAATGACCAAATTGCCTAATGATGAGATTCTCAGAACGTATCCCCATCATTATGCATGACAGTATATAAATGTATCAAAGTAACACACTGTACATCTTAAACTTACACAATGTTACATGTCAAATTTATTCAATAAAAAAATATAAATATATATAAGGATCCAATCTTAGTAACTGAATGATTCACTAAACATACAATTGTGTAGATAAGTTTCATCTTATTTAGAAATAAAGGAATTAAAAGGAAAACCTGTATCAACTCAAAATCTGTTTACTTTCAGGCACACCCTCCCCTATAGGCTGGTGCACTCAACACCCACTGCAACCCCTCTCCCCCTTGTCTTTGTCTACTGCAGAGATCAGAAAGCAGGACAGAATTCCTCACCTCCCTGCAGCTAACAGAAGCCACAGGAAATAGTTCTGGACTATGAGACATACAAGAGAGGTTTCTCTTTCTGAATAGACAGCAGAACCTCCAAAGGAGTAGGCTTTTGCTCTCGCCCAGTGTCCATCCCCCTTCCTCCTGCCTGGACTACAGATGTGATGACTGAGCCATCCTGTGATTGTGAGGAAGAAGGTCAGAGGTCACGTGCTAAGGATGACAGAGCAGGAAGAGAGAGCCAGCTCCCTGAGTGCGTCCCCCCAGGGCCACATCAGCCCCACTCTCTGCCCACCTCCAGGCCTCCTGCTAGGGGAGAGGAACATCTGTGAGTTAAACTATGGTGAACTGGGTGTTCTGGTAGTTGCACTTGGAGGAAGTCCTAACATACATCTTGTTAAAAATTAATATAAAGGAGAGAAATAATCTAGTCAGGGGAAAATAACAACAATTCATTTCAGAATAAAGCTTGAAAGAAAATGTATTTCTTAAGAAACTGAAGGTTGAGGCTCAAGTCAGCCTGGAAGATCTAACTTATGGTCAATGATCAAGAATAGGCTGTAATCAATCTATTCTGTCTACTTTGGTGTATGTGCAAAAATCTCTACAATTAAACAAAAAAGAAAGAATACACTGGATTTGGTGAGTGAAAGATAAAGGACCATCAGCAAAAAACATCCTCAAAGCTGGAGGGAGCTCAACTCAGTGTCTAGCCTACATACATGCCCTTTTGTTTGCTTGTTTTAAAAAAAAAAAAAAATTGTGCTTGGGGCCAGCCCCGTGGCCTAGTGGTTAAATTCGGTGCGCTCCACTTTGGCAGCCCAGGTTCAGTTCCCGGGCGTGGATCTATACCACTCGTCAGCGGCCATGCTGTGGCGGCGACCCACATACAAAATAGAGGAAGATTGGCACAGATGTTAGCTCAATGGAAATATTCCTCAGCAAAAAAAAAAAAAAAAATCATGCTTGTATTATCCTTATTATCAAAGAAGACTGCAGACCACCTATCTGTTCAGTATTTACTGAGACGACTATGTCCAGGCACTTGTAAGACAGCAGTCTGCCCTCCGAGGGTGCTCAGCAGTGAGAAAGCAGTCATGTAACCACTGCAATGCTGCCATTGGGACCCACAGGGGGCGGGTGACAGCTCAGAGGAGGGGTACAGAAACCCGACTGGGGAGGAGGACCATCATGGAAGCCTTCCTGACTGGGAGGAAAGGAGTATACAGGTACTGATGGGAATGAAGATGGAGAAATGGGTCGGATCCAGGTCTACAAAGAGCCTCATACACCATATTTTGGAGTTTGAACTTTATCTCAAAAGTTCTGGGAAGCCAAGAAGGACCTTAAGCCTGAGAGCTACACCATCCGATCTGCGATACAGATAGAACACCTGGCAACAGTATGGCAGGTGACATGGGGAGCCGGGCCGAGGAGTATGTAGCCACCTTTGAAGACACAGCAAAGGAGAAGGGCGAGAGAAAGGCCTCAAGCTTGCTGGGGAGTCAGCTGCTGGGCTGCCTAAGGCCATACAGAAGCACAAGTTACTTGAGGTGACCCGTCTCGCATGTTTTCAAAACCAACATGAACATAGGGACTGTTTCCAAGAATCTCCTTTGATATTGCAAAACATTCACCTTGCTGACTTTAAATGGTCTTTCCTTGGTCTGCTGTTTGTCAAACTGATTATCCCAGTTTCCTTTGAAGTAGATGGCATTCACGAGAATCAGATTAGTCAATGGATTAACTGAATTTGGAGACAGTAACTCTGTAATTTTACCTAAAAGAAGAATGAAAGGACCAGTTAGCTAAAAGAGTTTCCTGATGCACGGATCGGGGACGATATTGAGAATGGGCCATCTCCTTAGGTAGTCAAGAGCACAGATAAAGGAGTTCACGGTCCCCCAAATATACCATGTAAAAGGATATTTGTCCTCAAAAAAACCGCAGCAACAAAAACTTAAAAAGCTCTCGTAAGAAAAATACCATCACTTGAATAAAACACAAAATGAACACAATAATATGTGCAGGATAAATTCATAACACATACGACAGAAAGGACTGCTTGGTGCCTACGGTGTGAAGAAAGAAACTTAAAGGATGGTCAAACGGTGAGAGGTTGTAGCCAGTGTAACAGTTTAAATGAAGGACGCAGGTGGCTGAGGGCTGCGCCAAGGGTCCTGCAGTAACGCACGGTGATCTGTGGAGCATGAGCAAGGTGGGCAGGGAGGCAGCTTGAGACCTGAAATGCAATATTTTCTTTATGCGATGTGTGAAAAGACTCTATTAACATTAACAACAAAAACATTCAAGTGTGGATTGTTCTGGAAAATGTATACCAAATATTGAGAGACATCACAGATTTGGTGATGAGAACAGGGAAACACTAGAGAAAATATCATACATCGACAATATTTCAGAAGCAGATTTTGTAGGTTTACAATGATTTGGAGAAAAGAACCATTCTTGTTTACATCTGCTGGTCCTGTGAAGGAACTATAATAAGATTGATTAAAACGCTATTAAAATAGAATCACAACATATTTTCACCTTCTGTCTTTTTGGCTACCCAGCTGTTGATGTGTTGTCTGGACTCCTCTGCAGCGCTGACAAAGTCAAGGTCTTCCATCTCTGCCTGGTAGAATTTGTGGCAGGCATCTCTGAAAGACTAGGAAATACAGAGTGACAAAATTGCACGGCCACAAAAATAATTAATACCAACAGCTTGTTTCTTCATTATGCCAAATCAGAACATGGATAATTTTATGATTTACATATGTAATGTACAAATAAACATAAGGAATTAACCTAAAATCCAATTTCTCAGTTTTCAGCTACATTTAATTTGGCTTATAAACAAGTAACATAGTGGTCTGAATAGCAAATAAAGGTCATGACCTGCTGGCTCCTTTAAGGGAGTAGCTGTGACTCAGCGAGGTAAGAACCAAGACACCTGGACTCAGCAGCTACCACCTGTCCCTCCTGACCAGCCAGCACTTGCTGAGTGAGGGCCAGCACAGCAAGAGCCACGAGCCCTCAACACTTCCAAACAATGGACTGTAGACCAGGGCCTGCTGTCCGTACAACGCGACACGTGTAATTCTACACACCACTCCCCACAACTCTCTGTGATGATGGAAATGCTCTGAGTCTGCACTGTTCAAAACTGTGCCTCCTGCAGCCACTGAGCACTCAAAACAAGGCCAGTGCCACTGAGGAACTGAACACTGAATGTAAGGACGACGCTGAGATTTAAGTGGCCACCTGTGTCCAGTGTCCCTGTTTGGGATGGCTCAGTTTTAAAGTGTGATTGAGACTCAAAGAAAGTTTAAACTACAGTTTGTTAATAGAGTCTATGAATGACAGTGACATTAATGAACACCTACATTATCCACATAAAAGCAGAAAATTTGATGGAAAATAAATGGACTGAAATAACCAATATGTTGACAGTGCACTATGGAATGGTTTCCCAGTCTTTCCTTTGAACTCCTTAGGGCTAAATATTTAATTCCCCTTTTCAGGATTGTTTTTATATTACAACTTTTCACACTTCTCCTTCAGTATAGCATTAGACAGGCAACACGGCACGGTAGCCAAGAACACAAGTCCTGCGACTTCTTAGCTGTGTGACCTCAGAAAAGTCCCCTAGTCTCTCTAAGCTTCCTCATCCTCCCTGTAAATGAGGACACAGCAGCAGCCCCCCTCAGATGGCTGCTCTGAGGACCCCATGAGTTCTTGTCATTAGCACTGTTTCATGTAACATTACCGAATTCTCCACATGTTGCAGACACCGTTCTAGGTGCTCTAGGGGTACCATTTCACTTTATCCTCACACAGTTCACGCTTTATCAATTTGGCTGCTTTGCTTACTGATCAATGCTTTTGAAAAAGTTTTCAGTCTCTCAATCTAAGAAAATAGTCTGGAAGCAAACTGGTCACTCACGTATTGACAACTCACCACACCCTTGGGGGAATTCTATAACTTTTAAACACATCTGAAAATAACTGTCTGCTATTTAAGTTACTATTTTATAAGCCAGGACTAATCAGACTAAAGGAATATCTAATTATATGCTGTAATTGGTATCAGATTCTTAGGACACTAAATTAATGAAAAATAATCAACAAATATTTCTAATCTCTTTATTTTATATTCCAATATCAAAATAACATTTTAAATACCAATGCTTTTCTCAAAATATCTACCAAAAAAGAAAGAATATTAAAGAAAATCAGCCAATTCTTTGTGTTTACTGGAAGTTTTGTTCTTCTTTATCTAAGACTTATAAAAAGACAAGAATAACCTAGATGGTAGCTAAGACTGATAAAAAATAAGTCAAACAAGTTGTAAAAACAATCACACTGTGGTGTACAAATCTTACCAATATTTGACCCCCTGCCTGACAACAGTTACTTTACACCAATTGTTTTAAAACAATTAATGTAGAGTCTGAAACAAGTTAGAAAAATAATCATATAACAGAACGATTGATATCCTAAACATATAGAGAACTCATAAATCAATAAGAAAAAAATGCATAGCCCAAAAGAAAAATGTACAAAGGATATATAAACAGTCTATTCTCCAAAAAGATACAAATGTTCAACAAACATAAGAAAAGTTGTTCAATCTCATTAATAATCAAAATTTAAAGGTTAACAACATGCAGTGTTGATGGTGGGTGGAAATGAGCACTCTGCTAATATCCCTGGAGAGAATGTAAATGGCTATAACGTTTTGGACAATTTGACAACATTCACGAAAACTTCAAGGCTTCACCACCTTCTCCCTTCTACAAATCCATCTTGGAGTAACACACCTCCCCAGGCACAAAACCACAGACAAGAATATTCACTGTCTGTATGGCCCAGATTGGGTGCAACCTAAATGCCGTCAATGGGGGAATGGCGTATACGTCACAGTACATCCGTACTTAGAACTCTAGATAACAGTCAAAAGAAGGAGGTAGATCCACGTATACTAGATGCAAAGAATTTAAGACATAGTGTTTGGTGAAAAGAAACAAATTACAAAACAACATGTATGGTATAATGACATTACCTAAGGAAAAATCCCACAAAACAAATTTTTACATGTACAGGGGGATATACACCAAAGCTACAATGGTTCTTATACTGAGGAGGGGAGAGACGGCATATGGAAAAGAGGGTGTGAGAACTCTAGCTTTGTCTGCTTTATTTGCATTTTTATATAACAAGAACACTTACATATTACCTGAGTAGTTTTTGAAAAATGAAAAAATCATGAAAGCATTGTAAATAAACAGAACTAGTATATTTAGACAAATAAAAACTTTAAAAAAAATCTGTGTTGGAAAAAACAAAATATTTACATGTCTAAAAAGTTGAACAAGTCTCACAATGCACAAAAAATTACCAATATGTGAAAAACAATATTAGAAATATTCCTTTTGATCACTTCTTTGTTTTGGCCAATTCATCTGGAATTGTGCTATGCTCCATGTTAGTTCTTTTATAATTATCTCATTTAAGCTTCACAAAAATCTGGAGAGTATTTGTTAAAGGGCTCATTTTACAGACGATAAAACTGAAACGGAGATAAAGGAAGTGCGTGCGGTTAGCGCTTGGAGCCCTGAGTTCACGCCCACCTGAGTGAAGTCACAGCCCACAAGCCTTCTACTATACAGTGAAAAACAGCAGGGTAACTTACCGAGAGGAAATCATAAGACTTTTCTCCAAACAGCCGGTTGGCGGTTCTAAGCAAGTATTGCGTGTCAGTCCTGTTAACCTCGCTGAGAAGCGACTGGAAACCCTGGTGGACATCTCCACCTCCGCTGCCGCTCTTACTTAAAGAAAGCGCCTGAAATTGAAAACAGAATAAAAATGCATAACGCTCGATGTCAGGAAATAGAAACCACACTGAACTCAGCCTAACATCTGTCCAGATCCTCACTACAGCTTAAAAGAAGATTCATCCAATTAAAGACCGAAAGATCTTGAAAGCCACCCAGTCTCCCTCCCTAAACACTTCCTGAGGGAGCCAGAGCCTTGACAGCATGGGCAGGAGCAGAAATGCCCCTGCGCAAACCTGGGCTCTGTGTGCTCACTACTTGTTGTAGTCTGTCTGCAAATAAGGCTGCCATCTGGGCCTCCCGTCTGTGCAAACACAGGCCACTCCTGCACACAACAGGTGCAGCCTCTACCCACTGTTCACAGGTCTCGGCTGGCCCCGGGACTTGCTCTGACCAACAAAATGCAGGAGAAGTAACACTGTTCCAGGCTGGGCCTTGAGAGGCCTGGGAGCTCCATGTTCGCTCTCTTGAACCCCAGCCACCACGGTGTAAGAAAGTCCAAGCTATCCTGCTGGAGGCCTCGTGGAAGGCCCTGGAGAGTTGACACCATATGGGGAGAGCACTTGTGGGAGGACAGACGCCCCAGCCAACAGCCAGCACCAAGGCCCCAGAATGTGACAGAGGCCTTCTCGGATCATGAGGGTTCCCAGCTGGCACCATGGGGTCAGGCCACAGAATCTGAGAAATAATCAATCATTGTTATTTCCAGCCACTAAGTTTTGGGAAGGTTTGTTCTGCAGCCATAGAAGATCCATGCATCGAGCTAGACGTGGAGTTCTCACAAAACATAACAAAAATCCACAACATGTGGCGCTGGCTTTGGACCCAGGCAGCTAGCAGAGACGGGAAGGAGAGGGAGTGAGGAGACTGTGAGTAGAGGCTGGAAGGACAGGGAAGAAATTACTACTGGAGGTCGGAGAGAAGGAGCTCACGGCATGAACCAGCAGAATAACTGCGGAGACTGGCCCCTGCAGTGAGGGGAAGGCTGGGCATTTCCCCAGTGAACCATGGATCTGGCTAAGGAGATGTCCAGCAAGAACGCGGCTTTTTAGCTGCCTGGGATAAAGTATGGGGAAGAGAAAGATGAGCTAAAGAAGGAACTATTTCATTTTCAACCAGAATTTAAAGGAAATATTTCCAACCTAGGACTTGCTGGGTGGAAAATAAAAACGTTTCTCATTCCCAGCCTCTCCCACTGGCATATGATTCCAAAAATAAGAAATGGCCTCATGACAGAGATCAAATCTCAGGCACAGATCTCAAGAGCAGGATCCAGATCCTCTTTGTTAAAACCTTAAAAAGGTTAAGGAAGTGCCTCCTAGACCCTCTCGGCCAGACAAAGAGGCTTCTAAGCATCTTAAGGACTTTGTCCCCCAGCACTGACTCCCATCCCGCACAGAGAGTCCTGCCTTACACAGGTCTGTGCGTGTGCTTTTGTCCAATGAAGTGGATTCTAAGTTGACATACAGAAATCCCACAACGGTTTAGAAGAATCAACCCTGCTGACACCTGGATTGTGGACTTCCAGCCTTCTGAACCATGAGGAAATAAATTTCTGTTGTTTCGGCCACTCAGGCTGTGGTACTTCATTACAGCAGCTCTAACAAACCAAGAGACCTCCTCCATCATTTCTGAAGGGAGAGTTCCCTGCGGTTATCCCTCTCCATCTCACCTTTGTATGTTGGGGAGGGTGGGGCGGGGGCGGGGCAGATAATTTGCCTCTTTAGTTTACAAAGCTCTGCACCCAAGTAACGATACCGAGGAGCCGCATCTGAAGAGCCTCAAGAGCCCTGTTCTTCCTGGACTTCAAGCCCAAGCCTGGCCCAGGACGGGATGAGACTCTGGGGTTGCAGGAGGAGATAAGTGTACCTCACCCGTGGGAGGACTGTGAATCACTAGGGGCTAGCAGGCAGACTATGGCAGTCATCAGTGTCCCCAGGAGCCATGCCTCTGGCATTCACGCCCTTGTGCAGCCCCTCTCGGGCTGACTCTGGGCTTGGCGGCGTGACTGGCCTCAGCCAGTGGGGCATTAACAAGCATGACAGAGCAGAGGCCTGATTAGCACTTGCACATTCAAGCTTGTCCTCTTGGAAGCCAGGGACTGTGCTGTAAGGAAGCCCAGGCCACCCTGCCAAAGAGACACCATGTGGAAGGCCCAGGGGACGGGGCAGCACTTGGAGGAGGCCACACGGCAGAGGCCACGGTACCACACCAGTGACCCAGCCGGGGCCAAGAGGCGCAAAGCACTGCCCAATCCACCCAGAGTCATGCTACGTAAATTGTCATCATAGGCACTGAGTTTTGGCCTGTTGGTTACTCAACAACAAATAACTGAAACACTACTGAAAACATTTTTGGCTAAGTGCTAGCCTAAGGTTTTACACTTAAATGAGAAAACTAAGATAGAAATTTCTAACAATTGAAAAGCAGGTGACAACATCCAAAGAATATCACAGGACTCAGGCTGGACCTTGTGACTCTACATCTACTCACAAACTTGGGTACCAGCTACTACTAGGAGGAGGTGAAACCACTCATTCTTCTGAATGGAGTGCACCCTCCTTCCCTAACATGTCAGAGGCACCCAACCCGGCGGACCACCCCAGGGCTCAATGTCCTTCCCTAACAACTCTGTCCATACCCTTGCAACACCAGCGGAGATATCTGGCAAGAGCAAGTCCTTTGGGATTTAAAACCTGCAGGACCAGGTCAACTGACAAAGTAATAGCATTTACTGTTGCCCAGAAATGGCTTCAGGTACATACCTGGGACATCTGGGCTGCAGTGTTTCCCTTTGCCCCCATGAAGACCATGGCCAGGGCAGAGGAGATGCTCATGGGCGAGAAAAATACATTTTTCAAGTTGTCTTCACCCAGCTTTTTCAAAAGGTTTAAGGCAAAGGTGCCATTTGCTTCCAACAGGGTATCCATGACGGTGAGCCTGAAACAATGGATTTAAAATCAGTATCGCATAAATAGGGGCTTACGTGTTGACTGCAATTCACTCCATTATTTGGTTCACTGAGGAAATAGGGACACACACGAAACTCTATTTCTTTTTGGGACCCTCAAGGTTATTTTGTGTGTTTCTACTATTAAGTGAAAAGAAACTGAACAATTAAGTTGATAATATGATCCTGTTTTGTGGGGGGAAGAAACCAGGGCGACTTGTATCTGTACACCTGTGTGTGACACAGAGAAAGCGTGGAAGGACACATGCTCGACTGCTCACCCTAGTTACTGCCGGGGGTATGAGGAAAGGGGTATTGGCTTCTCCATTTCTGTATTGTTTGGTGTGTTATACGGGCCTATACATATTATTTTATAATTTAAAAATTATTCAAAATGAGAAATCTAATCACCAAATCATACAAGAAAAGATGGCTGAATGTTTTATAATGTGGGAGAGACGACCCCATTTTAGGATGACCTGAAGCCTTAAGATAAAAGATAACTCAAACCACGTACAAAGGTGTATGAAAGCCTTAAAAACAAGTACTTTTGACCCTCAATTCTCCCTCTAGGAAATCTATGCACGTGACAAAGCCCAGGTCTAAGACCACGCTCCCCAGGCCCTCCTGCCCCCTGTTCTGGACAACGAGGGCACCTGGTGATGCATGGCAGCAGATGCATGCCCACATCCACCTCCAGACACAGGCCTCAGAGGTCAGGGGTCAGGGTCTATCGCCCCTGCCAGGTAGGGCATCTGGCAGGGTCCAGAACAGGAATACTGCTGGGTGGTTGGGGATGGGGTGGGGTAGAGGAATCTTCAAGCCGGTTAAAGCAAAACAGGTCTTCAAAGAGACCCATTATCGACTTCCCACTTTACAGTGGGGAACCTGGAGTTCACAGAAGTGCAGTGACATATCCAAGCTAAGGAGTAGACGGGCTGAACTTAGGGCCAACGCCCTGTCTTTTGATTGCTGAACTTAGGGCCAACGCCCTGTCTTTTGATTGCTGCTCTACAAGTCGTTACTTCAGGAAGAGCCTGAAGGGTGTGGACAGAGGAATCAGGTGAGAGGACAGGAGGCAGTGAAGGGCCCAATCTGTCAGGAAGCCACAGGTGCAGCAGAGCCGGCTGGGAAGGAAGTGACTCTGGGGGGGCAGCACCTGTCTGCTCTGGGATCATTTACAGTCTACTGTGTCCACGGTTAGAGGGGGAGGAAATGACTCATCTGAGCAGGGGTGGGAACCTACAGAACAAGGAAAGGAAAAGGCAAGAGTAAATATTTTCATGGAGCAGAAGGGAGGGGGAAGGAGGTATCCAACTGAAAGACCTGAGAAGAGAAGGAGGAATTACCCATTCTTCACCGACCATGCCTGTACGTCATAACTGTGGTCGGCTGAAGAAGGGCCCCAAGAAATCTGCGTCCTAACCCCTAGAACTTGTGAATGTTCCCTTATATGGCAAAAGAGACTGTGCGGATGTGATTAAATTCAGGATCTTGAGATGGGGCGATTATTATGGATTACTCAAGCGGTCCCTGCATGTCATCACATGTATCCTTAGAAGAGGAAGCAGAGGGGTATCTGACCAAACAAGAAAGCACCGTGAGGACTGAAGCAAGACATTACCCTGCCGCTTTGAAACTGGAGGAAGGGGAGACAACCAAGGCATGCAAGAAATGCAGCTCTAGAAGCTGGAAAAGGCAAGGGGACAGATCTCCAGAGCCTCTGGCAGGAGCAAGGCCCTGCCGACCTTGGTTTCGCTCAGTGAAACCTATCTCAGACTTCCAGCCTCCAGAACTGTGAGAGAATAAACGCACTGAGTGTGTGGCAATTTATTACGAGAGATGTAGGAAACAAATACAATAACGAATATACCTGATAAATTTTCTATACTGTCCTTGTTGAAACATTTTATTTTCAAACTCTTCTTTATTGATTATAGACAACATCCTGGGTCCTGGGCAGCCCTGGTTTGCTGCGGCTTTCCATACACACCTTAGATTACTAATTTTTAATGGAAGTACAATAGAACGTACACATTACTAAAATTCTTCTTTATATAACTGATTCTTTGATGATACAGAAATAACTTCAGCATTTTGCAGAGCCTTGGGAACATCAATATAAACAAAAGTAGCCATTATATGAAACTGACACAAAATTACACACATTTTTGGTTATTTGGATTTTAGATCAGCAAAAGCTGATTTTAAGAGAAACAAGCGGTAAAAGAGGGAAACTGCTGAATCAAAAATGAGGAAAAGAGGAGGCACTAGAAAACCAGAGCACAGTCCTGAGCACTCCTGACACACTCAAACGTCCAGACTCAGACAAGCGTCTGTGGACGCCCCCCCGCCCCACCCCTGCCCCCAGCACCAGTCTTCCTCTTGCCTGGAAACAGGGACACTTGCGGCTTTGCCCCTGAGATGGCTCAGCCCACAGAGAGGCTGCCAGGCTGCACGGCCCCGGTGAATTGAGAGAGGACAGAGGATTAGGGCCCTGGGCATGTCAGGTTTCTTGCAAGTTCAACTGGCCAAGGAAAGCTCCCGATCCTATTTTACCAGCCACATACATTGTCCCCTCCAGTGTTGAAGGAGGATTAATTCAAATGGAAATGCCAACCTAAGAAAGGCCATTAATAAAGCACTCTGTCTCTGATAACGTCCCCAACGAATTTGTTCTGGGCTCTGACCTTTCAGGCACTGATCTCAAAAAGGCACACTGCCTCCCTCTCCCACTCGGTAAGCAGCAGCCTGGCCAGCCCAAGTGCTCTACTGGGGCTGAGGAGAAACCGATGGACTCCCATTTCCCTGTGTCAAGGGAATTTAAAGCTGAAAGATCAATAGTTACTCAATATGAAGCACCTGCAGTCTTCTTTTTTAAACACTGAGTGGGAAAACAAATCAGGAGCTTCAGAGGAAAAGGTAGGAGTCAGGAGGGAGGGGGGGTTACAGTCCCAGCTCTGGAACCATGAATAAATGACTAGATTTCTGCTCCCTCTATAAGGGGCTATACCAGATCATCTGTGTTCCTCCCAACTTAACATCCCATAATTGTTAACATTAAAGCAGAAAGAAGAGCAAAACTTTAGCTCAATCTTCAAAGCCCACAGTGAAGTCAGTAATAGCACTCCATCTCTCACTTGAAAATGACTGCTGTTGGCCATTAAATGGAAAATTATATCCATGTCCTATAAAAACTGCTAAATAAAAAAGAAACAATAAATCAACAATGCCCTGGAGGGTTATCCAAGATATGCAGGATAATCTTATAGCAGAAAACATCTTAATAATGAAAGGCCTCAAATCAAACAGGAAATGATACTTCCAAACTTCTTAATGTGACAAGGACTATCTACTTCTGCTGCCATCACCACCACAGATGATAAAGTATCAGAGGCTGTTCCCTGGTTTCCCACACAGGAACAGGAACAGGGTATCTGTCATGTGACACTTGTGTAACTTTGTTATGATAGTTTGGGCCAAGGCAAATATAACTCACGAAACATAATGAGAAGGAAAACCATCAGAAATAAGAGGAATAAGCATAATTAGCAAACTATGTGATGGTCTACCTGAAAAGGAGCCAGAATCAACAAATATTCTTAAAACTGATATAAAATGGACTCCAAAGGACATTAGCAAATTTACAAAAAAGAAAAACACAGCTAATAATTATATTTAAAAGTTTTAACTTCAGAGAAGATAATAAACATCCTTTTTTGAGCATATACTATGCACTAGGTCCTACAGTAGCACTTTTCCGAAAAGATCCTTACAATCCTGTGAGGCAGGTTAGAATATCAGCATTTGACAAGCAAAGACATGGAGGCTTAGTTCTTTAAGTATCTTGCCTCTGCCCTCATAAGGCTGCAAGATCAGGGTGAGGGCTGCAAACGAGGTCTGTGTGGCTCTGGAGTCCCCTCTCTTAATTGCTATGGCACACAGTCTTCCAAAAAAAAGCCTTCCAAATTAAAGTACTTTTTGAAAACATGAACTTTGAAAGTTCAAAAATCATTAATTTCCAATACTGACAAACTAAGATAGGTATTCCTTCTTATACTATGCAAATGATGCTGTAAATTGGTACACTGATATTTCTAGAGTGTAACTTAGAATTACGTAAAAAATAAAGGAAGGAAGAAAAGAAAATGCCATGAAAACATTCATACCGTCTGAACCAAAAATTCCACTTATGGAAATTTCACTAACGGTAAAACTCACAGGTACTGATAAACATATTATGCACAAAAACAACTACTGAAGTACTTCATATGTGGCAGAAAAAAATCTTTAAATGCCCAACAACAGAGAACCACTTAGATTCTGTCACATCCATGATGAGATATTAATAGAGGTATTAATTTTTTTTAAATCATAGTAATACCATGAGAATATATAAAATTAAGTAAAATAAGATATAAAACTATAAATACAATTTTTAATCTTATCTATGTAAATTAGGAAGAAAAGTACATATGAGCATAATTTATAGACAGAAAGAGTGGAAGGAAATATTATACACCAAATGGTTATGGGTAATTTTTATTTGTTTATATTTTTCTGCATTTTTCACATTTTCTACAACATGCCTATATTATTTTTAGGGGGTTTTTTGGTTAATTTTTTTAATGAAATTAATATACATGCACTAAGTTTAAAATCAGATGGTGCTAAAAGATATTACAAAAGACAACAGGCTGTCTTACATGGCTGCCTGCTCCCTTCCTCCATCCACGGGTTTGCTTTATCGTAACTACATGGTACTCATTGCTAAGCCAAGCAGAGTACTAGGAACACATTTCCTTTCTTTCACTTAACACTGCTTTTCCTTATGTTAATACTGCTTCCCCCCATTTCTTTTGTTTTCTATGTACCTATGGCAACTTTCCCCCAAACATTCTACAGGTCACTCAAACCCTTTCAGTAGTTTTTTCATATGCTCAGATACAGGGAATAATCCACCAGCTAGCTCCCTTTTCCTCGCCCACAG